AGTACTCTATCAAATGAATGCATGCATCATAATTTATAAACAAGCTCTCAATCTATTGCTATTTCAAACAATATTGAACTTAGTATTCTTACACATATGCCTAGAAATACATATGAGAGAACTCATATAGGAAATATAAATTCCTATAGGTGGATTTGCTAGATCAAAGGAGATGCTCACTTAAATATATTGCTCAACTGCTCACAACAGACATCGTATCAATTTTAGAATCATTACCACTGTGCATGTATCTTTCGCTATAAGCTGGCCAATTTCTTGAGCTTTTGTCATTCCCTGTGTTCCTTTCAATATAGGACACTACCTGCCTCAGTCCCAATTCCTGCATTTACCAGGTTTTGTTTTATGGAACTAAGGATTAAACCCAGGACACTTTACCACTGAGCTACATCCCCAGCCCTTTTTGAGACAGGATCTTGCTAAATTGCTGAGGCTGTCCTCAAACTTGCAATCCTTCTGCCTAGGCCTTCTGAGTCACTGGGATTACAGGTATGCACAACCATGTCTAGACCATTCACCAGGTTTTTGACTTTAGACAAGCCAATCTGCTCTTCATAACCTTCTCATTAGACAGAATGACCATTTTATAAAGTATCTTTGAAAATTAAAGAACATTATGTCAAAACTCAACCATTACACAAATGATAGCCCTAAATTAGTATTTTTATATATTCTACATAAATAACTTGTGTACTTTTCCTCCACCTCTGTTCTTAGTATACCAACAGTTCAGGCTTTATTATCCATGCTCTTTCTTTCAGTGTTTTTCTCACATACCCTGCCCCCTCCCCTAAGTCTGATCATCAAATGAATCTTCCTGAATTGTAATTCTAGTTGTGCTACCATCTTGCTTATATGGCGGGGGAGAGGAAATTCTATACTTTATCCTCCATTATCTAGCCCCACCATGATTTTTTTTTTTTTTTAAAGGCTCTGGGGATCAAACCCTGGATCTTCTGAATGCTAGGCAAGTCCTCTACCACTGTGCTACATACCCAGCCCTCTAAGCGATTTTTTACTATTTCCCTTTGCCACTGTTAAAATACCTTTGAATACTCCAGCATGACTAGCATAATATGTACTATATTATGTGCATATTATGTACTAGGTTAAAGTACTAGTGCATTCAGTCTCTCTGATTGGCAGTTTGCACTTCAATGTTCTAAAAAGAAATCCCATACTAAAGAGGCAGCCATTGCAACTGTAGCTGCTAATATGCTGAAACTTCATTAATTAGCACAAGGCATATCAGGAGTAGGTTTTTATTAAATTGATGGCTATAATTATAATAAGCATGATTAATGAATGGGAGAAATGGGTTCTGAGAAATTACATGTACTCGATGAAATGTTCAGATAAGACCCCTAAACTTCATGAACTTGGCCTAAGAACTGTAAGACTTGAAACCCATAAGAATCCTCCAATGACACATATGGGTCTAAAGATTTCTGGTTGTTTTATGTCCACTTAAATAACAAATACTGCCTCTGGAATATTATTGCATCTGGACATGAAAGTGTGGGCAAGTTCACTCAAAATGAAGAACTAGAACTTCATGATGCTTACAAGTTATATGTAGTTTTGTGCCTGCATGTGATAGATGTTTAAAAAATGTCCAAGTGGCAGAATTTGATCTAAGACAAAATAACTTGTCAAAAAGGTTATAGGGGGATTGCTAAGACTCATTCACTTTAACTTCTATTAGTCTTTTACTAACAAAACCCCAAGAGGTATGCATGACCAAATTGTCTTACATCAGCTGGATATACATTTTTAATCATATGAATGCCTTTCCACTTTGTTTTCTTTGATACCTGGTAAATCTCAACCCTTCACCTCTCAGTTGCAATACTGTCAATGTGTCACTTTGCTTAAACACTGGTCTTTGTGGTCCACTTACTGCACTTAGTAGGTTGCTCTTATGTTTGTGTACTGGGGATTAAGCCCAGCCCCTCACACATGCCACACAAGCACGCTACCACTGAGCTACATTCTGAGCCCCCACCACCTTTTTGGTACCGCAGATTGAACTCAGGGGCACTTGACCACTGAGCCACATCCCCAGCCCTATTTTGTATTTTATTTAGAGACAGGGTCTCACCAAGTTGCTTACTGCCTCACTTTTGCTGAGGCAGGCTTTGAACTCGCAATCCTCCCGTCTCAGCCTCCCAAGCCGCTGGGATTACAGGCGTGTGTCACCACGCCTGGCTGAGCCCCTTTTTATTTTAAGCCAGGGTCTTACTAAATTGTCAGTGCTAGCCTTGAACTTATGATCCTCCTTGCCTCTGCTTCCAGAGAAGCTGGGATTACAGGTATGTGGCTGCCATGCACAGGAGTAGACTCTCTTGAAAGCAGAATCATGAACAGGCCACACTTTTTTTTTTTTTAAGTTGTTAACAGACCTTTAGTTTTTTATACAAAGTGCTGAGAACTGAACCCAGTGTGCTGCTGCTGAGCCACAGTCCCAGTCCCCATACTTTTAATTTCTCAAAACTATGTACTATAGTACTGTGTTCATAGTACATGTTAATAAGAATTAAATGAATGGTGGGATAGGGATGTAATTCAGTGGTAGAGCGCTTACCTAAAATAATAAAGCAGTTTTAGATATATTTATCTTAGCAAAGAACACGGACAACAAATAAAATTTAAATTGTAGTGCTTTGAAGAAAAATGAAACAGGGTAAGAGAATAGTTTAGGGGCTCATGAGTGCTTCTTTGAATGGATCCAGAATGGGGAAATATGTAGGATCCTTGAAGGTTTTGAGAACTTGATTTTTATGTTTAAAAATTTATCAAGTCTTTTCTCTAAAAATATTGTCAATGGGCACAGAGTTATCAGTTATTTCTTGGGTTAGTGGTATAAATTTCTGATTGCAGTCACCCTCACCTTAGTAGAGTGACTGCAAGTTACTCAGGCACCTGTCCATATAGTTAAAGATAACCATTCAAGACTCACTTGCAGCTAGATCAGACTATGTAATTAAGTTCTAGACAAGAGCAAAATTAATGTACATCTTGCAGACCATGGCTCTTAACAGGAGTGGTCATGTCCTTCCCATGGTTTTGATACCGGTATGTTAGTTAAGAGCTAAAACACCAATCCCAGACAAAAAGAAGGGCCGAGGATGACAGAACTACAAAATAGAAGTTGAGTGCAAAGTTGGAACATCATGCTTATGCTGCTAAGAATAAACATCTTTGGTCAGTTATATTCGGGCCTTTACTATACTGGCAGAAGAAACCTGTACCTTAACTTCAAGATGGGGGCATACTGAAGAAGCATCATCTAACTTACATGGAAATTAATTACATTACCAGGAACTCCTTATGGTTTAGCTTCAAACTCAAAAAGACAAGGTAGCATGATAGCAAGCCAGAATGGTATTTTAGAAAAAATTTAACTATCTTTTCAATCTTACTTCTGCCATTTATCAACAGCAAGAATGTGAAAAAGCGATAACATTGGTAAGTTCTTGTTTCTGCATCAGTAGTATAGGGTTACTAATTTACAATATCTTTTCCTTATACTGGAATCCTATCTTTCAATCCACTCCTTATTGAAAAAGTGGCAGAAATGGCCAATTGATCCTCTTGGCACTCTATTTTCTCTCATCCTTCATTCTGAATGCACAGACTGAGTGCCAAGAGTGTGTGTTTTTCTGAGAGGCAGTCAGACAGGTAATGTAATAATAATTGTGAAAAAAACATCTTTTCAGGTGTTTCTGACCTCCCTAGAAATAGCTCACCCATGTTGCAGACTCTGGTAAAGGCAAGGTTAGAGCCAGAACTGTTTTAGGTAGCTCTCAGCTTCCCCAACTCCCCTTAGTACACAGTTTATAATGAATTTATGTGGAGTGGCCGACCCTGTACTTTCTCTTTGGGATTTTTTTTGAGGCTGGGTTGGTCCCACCCTTCACCCCACACCCCATCACAGTGCTGGTGTTTAAGACCAGAGACTTGTGCATACTAGTTAAACCAGTGAACTACCTCCCCTGCCCTTTGGTTTTTTGAAAATAACTATATTCCAGACAATTTCCAGTAAGGCATTTCTAATTGAGGAATGAGCAAATAGAGTCATGTGTCACTTAATGGTGGAGAAACTCTGAGAAATGCATTCTTAGGTGATTTCACAACTGTATGATGGCTACCATGTCTCTAGGCAATAATAGTCTTAGGAGACTACATTATATATGAGGCCCACCATTGACTGAAACATTGCTATGTGGCATATGACTGCAGTTATATTTCAACATTAAAAAAATAAAATCCTTGCTGGGTGTGGGGTGCATATCTGTAATTAGAGTGACTGAAGAGGTTGAGGCAGGAGAATCACAAATTAAAAGCTAGCCTGGGCAGCTTAGCAAGGCCCTGTTTCAAAATAAAAAATAAAAAGGTTGGAGATGTAGCTCTTGAGTTAAATCCCCAAAACATACAAAAAATACCCCATACCCAATTTTTCCACTGGGAATAAAAAAAGCTCAAATTGTCAACACAGTCCAACTTCCCAAATAATCAAATTAATTATAAATTTTCCAAAATATATGGTATGACTATAGAATAATGACATGGATTAGTGTAAGTATCTTTAGGATAGCTCATCTAACTTATATTCATATTTCATGAAGATTATAAAATATATGAAAATATTTACATCTGAATGCACAAGATTTCCTCAAAGCTGGTAGGTTTCTGTATCCTTTGAACAATTCACAGTACTTATCAATAAGCAACTATATATTAACTTTACTTAGAATTCAGAACTTGAGGTATAAAAAAATCAATATATTACAGTTTTCAAAAACAGGAGAAAAGCAAACATTTATAAAAGCACCTATCATGAACTAGGTTCCTTAATATTCCCCAGATTTCATTTGATCTTCTCAATAACTCAGATTTGTTTTTCAGAAAATATGAAAACCAAGTGACTCCTCAGAAGGTTCAAAGAATCAACAAGTTCTTGTTTTAAAAACACACCCAAAGAATATGAAAATATGTATTTATTACCAACAAATTAGCATTTCCACGGAGTTTTTATCAATTACAGACATGTACACATACAATTGCAAGACAAAATTACATTTTTCACATACTAAAGGTTTATATTGCAAAGATAGGCATACGTCCAAAAGACAATCAGAAAGCAGCAAGAAATCTTTCTTCTTACTTTCAATATAGAAAATCTTAAGAGAGACTCTCCTTGGGCAAATCAATGAAAATTTAGTAATCAAAAATGCTTGTCACCTTAAAGCTTTCAATATCATTTTTTTCATCAAATCAGGCTTTTACTTTAAGTACTTACAATTTGAATGTTAATTAAAAATCAACATTTGTAGAAAACATGACGGTTTAAGTGGTTGAAACTATATTGCTCTAGACTTACTATTCTTTAATGTGTTAAAATGATACATAATTTATCCTTCGGAGCTCAAAATTCAATGTAAAACCAAATATTACTTTGTCTAATAGAGAAATATAATTCTTATAAACAAGGTATGAAGTAACTTTGCATTTGTAAATTAAAATTTTATTTTCAAATATGCTTAATCTTCAAGCACAATGAGGTTCATTTTGTAGAAACAAGATGACTGTAATAACTATCAAAAAACAAACTACACCAAGAACATATTAATAAAGATATTATAGTAGGAAACAAAGTAACAACAGAATACAGTTGGTAATGTCCATTTACTAATATGTTACCAAATTTTCAATGTTCATATGACTTGTTCATACTAGTAAAAATGTCATTTTGAAATATTTTCATATGACATGCACTAGGTTTAGTTTACTTAGGAGGGGAGGGCTCTTTTAAAACATTTATAAAGAAAAAATATGTTTTAAAAGAGAAAATGTCTAAGGAAAAGGACATAAACTCAGCTCATTATTTTTTGACTTAATAAGAATATAAATGTCAGTGGCTATTTAAGAATATACAAAACCCAAACTGAATGCCATTCTTCAATTTATTCAGCCTAGCAAGTCAAAATAAAATAAAATAAAATAAAATAAAATTTTGTCAGGTTTACCAGAACAGATCCAATTCACTACTCAAAGACGTGTTCTTGGACCAGTCCATTTTCTTACAAGATTTACTTTTTTTAAAAGAATAGGATTTGTTTGGCACTGTTAATTAGCAAAACTCTCAGAGATAAACAAATGATTTTTCTCATTTAATTCTTTCAAGCTGGAAGAAAACAGTTTAAACTAGATTTTCTAAGATAAAGGGTAGATCAACACCGTAAAGAAGGACCTCTAAGCTTAAATTCTAAAAACATTATGGTTTTAAACAAATCAATGTTTTCCCCTCACTCTAATACAGCACTGAGAAATTTCAAATACAAATTGTAGAAACCAGTATATGAAATTTTAAGAAAATCTTGCTAAAAATAATTATAAAAATGTTCTTTTTTTTTTTAGAAATTTAAACAAAAACAAAACAAAACACCCCCCCCACAGACTTTACAAGGTTATTCTTTAAAAACCCTTGTCACCTGATTTTATTCTCTGTCAATCTTTTTAGCTGCATTTTGCATCATCTAGTGGCCACCTTGTGGCATTTCAAAGAAGCTCTGCTAGCATTTTTGAGGCCCACTGCCTTTTTTTCCCTTGAAAAACCATAACAGCATCAAGTTTCATAAAACTTACTTCAAAGGCCCACAAAACTCCATTTCCTAGTGGAGATAAGGTAATCTTTTTTAATAGAAAGCACTGAATAGATTTGTCATAAATTATTACTATACATTAGATACTTCCATATCAATTTTAAAAAGTTAAATAACACTGGGAGAAAGTAGAATTTAAATTCTAGAGTCATCTTAAGATGACTTTATAGGTAATTAGTTCTTATTAATTTAATTTGCAATTAAAGCTCAGGGCTATTGTGTCAAGAAAACAACTTGTGGTTGATAACCTCCATTCCACCGTACCTTAGATATGCAATAGTAAATACCTTTAAGCATGGGAATCCAGTTACTCACAGAGTACTAAGGAAGATCAACCAAGACTGAAGACTTAACTTTTACTACCAGATGATGTTCCAGAGAAAGAAATCATTGTGGTATACATTTCACTAACCTATTTGTATATTTAAAAGCTAGTTTCCAAAAATAATCAATCTTTCTGTTTTAATAAATCTACTAACTTTTATTCAGTTGAGCCACATTTATAAACAGAATCTAACAGAAAAACTTCCAAGTTCCCTCCCTTTGCTTCTACTGAGAAGGTTGAGTGAATGTAATACGGCGCCGCCGCCTTTGGAAAGCCTTTAAATTCCATCTGTTTGGTTCCAGCATATGAGGACCATTGTAGACAAATAATACTGTCATCTTTTCAGAATAAGGAAGATTTTGCAGGAGCTGCATTAAAATAGACAAACTGTCACACAATGCTATACACCAAGAAGCATAGTTTTCCAACTTTACATGTTCACTGTCAAATATATCAGCTTATTCTAATATTAACAAAACATGAAGGAAGCTCTCAAATACCTCAATATAAGCCTTGCCAGACTGTGATTGCTACCTGAGTTAGCATACCGGCTTAAGAAATAATCAACACCAGGGAATCCTTTAAGTTCATAGGACAACTGGATGATACAACTCCCCAGGTAGGTTCTGGAAAAGAGTATGTCTTTCATAATTTTCCTAGGATAGACACTTTCACTTTTATCCACAAACACTTCTCATGCAACTTCTGTGGTCAAGCACTGTGATATACTGGTAGCCCAAAAAGTGTGTGCAGGAAAGTTTTATTTGTAGGACAAGGTGTTTGATAAGAATTAGAGTATTAACAGATCTGCCTATTCCACAGAGTATCTGCAGGAAAAAAGCAGACAATAAAACTCAATAAAAATCTGAATTTGGGATGGGCTCTTCAATGAAATTTTTCATGACTACTTAGTTGAAAAAGAAAAATAAGTATCTGATTACCTTAATAAATACATCTTTGAGTATATCCCTTTTATAATTTTCCTACAGCACTAGATGTAACAAAAGAAAATTCTCATTTCAATAGTTCTAGATTACAGAAAATTGTCATAAGATAACTGTATTGTTATCAAAGTTTATCTGTGAGTAGAAGATGTTGGGATACTTCTGATTTCCTCTGGGCCAGAGGAGTAACAGTGGTAAATAAAGACGGGGAAAGTATGTGATAGGACAGAATTTTCTGGGAAAATGAAAAGGATGAGAGTTCTAGTGTTTGCATTCTTCAGTCATCTTTTAATGCCAAAAGAGGAGCTTTTCTAGAAGAGGAATGAGTGCCAACAGCAGGGAGAAAAGCTCAGTTCTCAAACATAAGATTTGCCTCTTATGTTTCTTTTTCAAATAATGAGATTTCTGGTTATGTCACTGGAACTTGATCCTTATATGAATGTAAATATTATAAATTTTTGATTTCTTTTTTTGGGAGGGGAGTGTTCCTGCTCATATTTACATATTGTGCCAAAATCTTCTACACAGTAAGTCAGTCACAGAGGACTTCTGCATGCACACGCACTTTGAGATTGTTTATTACATACCTTTGGTGTAATAAAGAAGTACTGAGATGTGTTTTCTTTACAGGCAGTGTTTACGACCATTTCAAACACTCTCCGTTCGTTGATTGGGTCCATTCCCTAAACCATGACAATAACAATGGTTATAGTTATATTCATTACAGGATACAATCAGATCCAAATAAAATAATAATCACTATACCTGATTGATTTCATCAACTACTCTGAATGGACATCTGTTAAGCTCCTGAAGGGCCATCAAGTATAACATGGTGGAAACACTTCTTTCGCCTCCACTTTGATGGTGAGGAGTCAATTCATGCAGTTGAGTACTACTGCGAAATTTGACTCTAATTCGAATTCCATATTTATCATAGTCTTCCTAAAAAACATTTAAAAAGTTGCAAGATGACAGTTTACCTGGGCAATTTAATTCTTTTTGGTGGTTCTGGGGATTGAACCCAGGGCCTTGAGCATGTTAGGGAAGCACTCTACCAACTGGTTATATTCTCAGGCCCTGGGCAATTTAATTCTATTGTTTGAAAATAGATGGAATAAATCAGTTTAAAGAGTAAATAACTTAAAATCTAGTGTTATTAATTTAAAAAATAAAATATTAAGCAGTTACCATCTAAGAAGGCTCTATTGGACAAGATATTATTCAAATTAAAAGTAATTTTTTCCTGTCCTATACCATTGGTTTTAATTTTAGCAGGCTTTCCCAAGAATTTTAAGAAATTAGTGAGAAGACCTGTCATGGAAAGGCACTATTTTAGTTTCAGCATGCTGGGTTTTTAAACTATAGGTAAAAATAATTAAAACTCAATGGAGTGCCATGCCATTTTCAGCTGGAGAAGTAGCTGTGTATGCCTCTGCAAAGGACCAAAAGTTCTCCCCATACCTCAGGTAAGAAGAAAATTAGGCAGGAATTTTTATATTATGCCACATATATACATACAGTGTTTAGCAAAGTGCCAGATATATAACAAGGTACATTCAATGTTCTATACATTTTGCTCAAACTGAGTTTGCTCTAAAGCTTATTTACTGCTCTTATCAGTGTTATTTGTCATTTCTAGATCACTTGGGTTCAGATTTACCTTAAAACATAACTCACTAGTTAAAAGTTAACTATTAAGACTAGGAATGTAGCTCAGTGACAGAGCACTTGCCTAGCATGTGTGGGTTCAATCCCCAGTATCACACACACATACTCTTAACTATTTAACAAATAGTGTTGTATGGTCTAAGATACTGCTGACCAAAAGACATAAAGAAACAGGCAATTAAAAATTTCCTAGTGGTCATATTTTAAAAAATCAAAAAGAAATAGGTAAGATTCATTTTAATAATAGCCTAATCAGTTATACATGACAGAAGAATGCTCTTTGATTCCGTGTATACAAAAGGAGCAGAATTTTTCACTTCTCTGGTTGTAATTTTAATACTATATTATATCCAAAATATCACAATATGTAATTGACTACAACATGTTTGAGATGAGTGGTGAGTACATTAGAGAGTGTAAGACTAACAGAACTTTTACAAAAATGTAAAACTGTTGGGGGCTGGGAATGATTTATGGATTTGTTTGAGCCATCTTAAGGCAGGGGTCTTACTCTCCTGAGAAATCCCATGGATTCAAGACTGCTCAGATTATGCTGACTCCGCCTGTTGGCTCAGACAGCCCTAGGTTCAAATGCAGCAGCCTGGAAGTAGAGGAGGTGGACGTAACCTGCTAAGTCCCAACCAAGTTGTCTTTGCCATCTTCTTCCTGTTTTCCTCAGGAAGTTCTTCAACTCTGAATCCCACTGGTGTTCCTACCCATTTAAATAAAATAGGTGGGCTCCATTTGGTTGTTAGATCCAGTCTCCATCAGAGCTGGACCATCCCACGATGCCCTCCACTTTTCTCTTATGTCTTTATTTCTTAAATTTCTCTTACCTTTAATATTTCTAATCTGACACACTGCCCTAGTTTGGGGAAACTGAGTAAATGTCATGTGGGTAACGATAGTAAACTTCTTTAACCTTAAGGATTCTGTTACACTGTCAAATTTTAGAAATACCACTTTTAATCTGTTTGCCATCGCCTCCACCCCTCTGCCAAGCACACCAAAATAAATAAATGACAATGTAATAAACATGTAATACTTCTAATTCTCAATGTCAAGTTTTTAACTGACATGCTGCATTTCTTCCACAATAATTTTATTAACTCTATAATTTATGACTACCAGTTTTGATTACTATAGTTTTGCTTCTGGCTCTAACATCCATCCTTTACTCTTTCTGCCCTATTATAGCTTCTTTCATCTCACTGAAGACCTGAATAAAGAAGGCAATTAAAGAACTATGATTAAAGAGGTCAGAACAGAAGGGAGACAAAGGAAGAGGCTGAGAAGAGGTAAGAATGTCCATTATCCAGGAGCCTAGCACTGAATAATCATCTACAGAAGTGCAGTTATCATTTAAAACACAGTAAAAAAGAGCAGTGGATCTCATGGAGACTAAGGTATGGGAGGTGAGGAGGGCAGGGGGAAGTTTTGGAAAGCGATACTGACCAAATTATATTGTTATACTATGTGTGTATATGAATATGTAACAATAAATCCCATCATTATGTGCAACTACAATGTACCAAAAAAATTTTTAAAAATAAAAATAAAACAGAGAAAAGCTGTCCAGAAGAAAAAGCATGTGATAAAGTTACGGTATCATGCATTAGGAGTTAAAGAATGGGATCTCCACAACAGGTCAAGTTCCATATATTTCACTGTGCTTCCTTGATTATATATTTATGCCTTAATTGGTCGAAATCTATATAGTTTGATTTCTTGTTATTTAAAAGCTAAGTGATATTTAGTAAATGTGTGTTTTTATTTTATTTTATTTTATTTACATCTGCCTTCCAAGATGGTTGAAAGAATTAAATAAGATAAGAAAATAAGATAATTAAATAAGATAACTTAAAAGTACTAGACACAAAGGAAGCATATTAAAAATTACTATTGTTATTATAATACATCCCTCTTAATTATAGCAAACCTAAGGAATGTACGGATGACAATCACTGTAGTAGTACCTAATATCTTAGATCTGGTACTCAAAAAATAAAATAATATTTTATATTTATGCTTCAAACTACACAGATGAAGGAATTAAGGGTCTAAACTCCTCAGGGGGGAAAAAATCAGTGTTACCTTGTTTTATAATTATATATGTAACATAACACAAAATTCCATACATGCTAAAATGGAAAATTTGTGAAGTGATATTTTTTACTATCTTCTCATCAAAATTTTATTGTGGAGAAGTTTTCAACATACACAGATTATTCATAATTAGTATTATTTTGGTACTAAGGGGTTGAGCCAGGGGAGCTTTACCACCAAGCTATATCCCCAGTACCTTTTTTTAAATACATTTATTTTATTTATTTTTATGTGGTGCTGAGAATCAAACCCAGCACCTCACATTTGCTAGGTGAGTGCTCTATCCCTGAGCCACAACCCCAGCCACCTGCTCAGTACCTTTTTAAATTTTATGTTTATGTAGCTAGTATTACACATGCGTGCCACTGTGCCTGGCTTCAATTAACAAAAATTAGAGAGAACACTAAAACAAGTTCAATGTGCCAGCAACTAGCCTCAACTATGATCAATATATGGCCAATATTGTTTCATTTATAAACTCACCTACTTCTGTTTCCCAATTATTTTGAAGCATCTATATACATTTCTTTTATTTATTTATTTACTTATTTTGGTAGGGGTAACTAAGGATTAAACCTAGGAGTGCTTTACAATTGAGCTACATCCTCAGCCCTTTTTATTTTTTATTGTGAGCTAAAGTTCACCAAGTTGCTTAGGAACTAAGTTTCTGAGGATAGCCTGGAACTTGCAATCCTCCTTTCTCAGCCTCCCAAGTTCCTGGGATTACAGGTATCCACCAACACACCTGACTCTCTTTCTTTTCTGGTGCTGGGGACTGAATCTAGGGCATCTGATATACTGAGCACGTGCTCTACCACTTAGCTACATCTTCAGGCTCTCTTTACACATCAACATGAACTGTGTGTGGCTCAAAAAATTAGCACATTTCCAAATATTTTTGTTCTTTTAAATTTCTGATCAAAAAGGAACTTCTGACATACAGTGTATTTTAGTAATGTTTTCTAATTTAATGATTCTTCTAACTTAGAAAGTGGTTATTCAACATGGCTGAATAACCCTTACTCAAATTGGACACAAACAGAGCTAGTAAGGAATTAGTCACTAATCTCAAACATCCACCCACCCTTGCAGGGTTAAAAAAAAAAAAAATAGAACAACAAACCCCGCAAAAACATGACCTTAAAGGAATACCATAGGTAGTCTTTTCCTTTGGATAATTTTTTAGTAAGCCAAATTTTCAGACATAATTCTAAAGTAAATTATTTTACATGTACTTTTAGCACTTAATTAAAATTAATTGCCAAGAAATATATTCCAAAAGCTATTTTACCTCATTTTCTGTATGGAGATCAACTTCACCAGCACACTGCATGGAACTAAAAAAATTGCTGAATTTTTCATTAATTTTTTCTACCAGCTCTTTTAAGGGATTAAGCCACCTTTCTTTTACCTACAAAAAAGGCAATGTAAATACATAATTTTAAAGAAGTATTATTATATTCTGATATATACCTTTACATAGAACAAATTTTATATCAATATCGATCTAGTTATGGGAAAACACTTTTTTTTTTAAGGGGTATATCATTCCATTTTCTATTATTCTAAATGCCCAAACCATTAATAATAAGCATATGATAATAAATAAATAAATATTTACAAAATTACCTGTGAAATGTTTTCCCTATATTTATCTAGTTCAACTTTCTTTCCCTTTAGTTCCTCAGTTAACTGTTCAATTTCTTCTTCTCTTTTTGTGTATTCCTCAACCACCTGGCAGAAAAAAATGTTCCTTTAAGATAAATCTACCAAAGGATAACATTATGTAGAATTTTGCATCAATGAAAACATTAATTGAAAACGTCAATTGTGTTGCACTGTTTGTATGCAATTAATATATGTTCTTATTACATACTGAAATGCCATTTTTTAAATCCTTGAAAAAAATAGACGTTACAGTATTTCAAGTTAACCCAACTATTCTTTTTATAAAGAAAAGGCACGGAACACTGTGTTCCTTAGGAAGAATCTATTTAAAATTCTAATAGATTCAGAATCTGGCATTTAAAGCACATTGTTCCTGCTGTCTAGCTTATTATTACCAAGGCTCTAGTACAGAGTGGGAGGCAAGTACTGAAGGGAACTGTGTGGTGTGTGTGGAGGGGGGCAACTGTGGTGGCTGCAGAATGGGAATAGAGAAAGAGGCATACTGTAGGATTCAGTCCTGTGAAGCAGGAAGCTCTTGATCTTTCTTCAGTTAATAAAGCATCAATTTCATCCAATGTGTTTGGAAGATCTTGGAAAGCCTAAAGAGGAAAAAAAATTACCTATCATTAGAGATAGCACAGCAAAAACAGTTCCAATCAAATAGTTAAAAAGAAAGATAATATACTAATTATCTACTATCTAATCGATAACATGCTAGCATTCAAAGTTGCAAAGGAAATATAAACAAGGTCTTTTGTCTTCAAAAAGCTTACACTTTAAAAGAAATCAAAATGTATACAGTGGGTAATACCTTAAGGCAATGTAATGATGTTGAGTATTAAAATAAGCAGTACATATCACAGATTATGGAATTTGAAAAAGTACCAGTTCATGCTATAGGAGAGTTAAGAGAATTGAAAGGCCTAGAATTCATCTCTGGGCCTTAAAGCAAATGGCTAAGGAAGAACAAGGCAGAAAGGAAACAGAAGCTTGGAAAAAAGAAGGAGCACTGCATACCATGGGGGGTGAGGAGTTGTGTCCATTTGGAATGGTGGGTACTTGCTGAATTGGTAGAATGGGTCCAGAATATGTGGGGCATTGAAAGAGAGCAAGAAGTTAGAACTTTATACTGTACTTATGAAGAACTACAAAAGCAACCTAAGAATCCAGTTACTTTGACAGTAGAATTTCACCACAGGACCCTCTTCTGAATCCATGCCACAGAGACAAATTAGAACAGATACCTAAGCATGAGGGGAGACAAGCAGTACATTGTTTTGCCTAGCCCGTATACTAAAAGGTACAATATGAATCTTGAAATCCTAAAAGAGATTGATAAATTATATTAATCTAATATCTTAATCTTTTTTTAATCCTTTAGAATGCAGTTCTACTTCTATAGACCTTTATATATTTATGTACATTTGCTGACTCTCTAACTTGTCCATGGAGCTTTGAGCTTATATGCCTAACACTTACTTGCCTTCACCTGACTCTAACAGGCATCTGAAACAAAATCTTCATTTCATCCACCTTTTCCATTATTTTAAGCAAACACAATTCTCCTTCAATCTTTTCCATTCCAGTAAATAGCTCCACTATTTGCTCAGATGAAAAACCGAGGGGTTTCCTCTTACCCCTTCATCCAAATCCACCAGTAAATCCTATTAGCTGTGTCATTAAAAAGACTCTCTAAATTTATCAATCCCTCTCTTTCTAGTGCTACCATCCTAATCCATGCTACTATAATTTCTTGTCTGGTTCTCTAAATGGTCTCCTGCTGCCTTTCTTATATGTATTGTACAAGAATGACCCTACATAATCTGGTATCTGCCCTCCTCTCTGCTTGGATTATAATTTTTTAGTCCCACTGAGATTCCTTGTCCTGACATATGCTAAATAACTTCCATCTAAGGGGCTTTGTATGAACTACTTTCTCTGCTTGGAATACTTTTCCTCACATCTTCACTTGAGTAATTTCCTTTCTTCATTCAGGACTTATCAAAAATAGTATCTTCACCAGGCACACACCTGTAATTCCAATAGCTCAGGAGGCTGAGGCAGGAGGACTCTGAGTTCAAAGCCAGCCTCAGCATCTTAGCAAGGTCCTAAGCAATTCAAAAGGCCCTGTCTCTAAATAAAATGGAGATGTGGCTGAGTGGTTAAGCACCCGATTTCAATCTCCAGTACAAAACAAAAACAAAACAACAACAACAAAAAACCCAACCAATCAACCAACCAACCAACCAAAAAAAACTCCCACAAAACTATAACATCTTTATCTTACATTATCTATTTGCCTTTGTGTTTTTGTCTGCCCCATCCTGCAGACTAGAATGTTTCAGTATAGAAGAATGTCTATCTTGATTAATGCAAGTAATTAATACATTTTTAATGAATGTTAATTATCTTCTAATCCTGTTTCTTTCAAAAGCAGTATAAATTATCAAGGAAAATCATGCTATTTTTGAAAGATAACTAATGCAGATATTAAACTAATATTTATTTTATGAAAACACGTATTTTATGAAAAAACATATTTAGGAAAAATTCTAGTACTATCTTTAAAAACAATAACCTCCTCAATTAGTTTTACAGATTTCTACTCCATTCCTAACATTTACCCAGTCAAATCCATTCTCTGAGGTTTCTACATCAGGTATCAAAATAAAATCTCTGGTGATTTGACAAATGTAATCCAAGTTAGTCTTTTTTCCTGCTTTTTATATCTTTAGTATATATTTCATTATCTATTAAAATAAATTACAAATTAAAAACTAAAATAAAAGACATTCAAATACTAATTATTTAAAAACTAATTTTCTTACTTTATTTTGACATTATTTTCAATAGGCAGGAAAGGTGTCATCCCCACTTGTCAGATAAAGACTAGGATCATAGGTCGGGTATACAACAATGAAATGTGAACTGAAGGGAAACATTCACTAATTATACTGAGTGATGTCAGTCAATAAAATGAAGACACTGAGAGCTCCTTTTTCCTTTTCTGACAGATGTTAGTTCTTAAGATTCAGATCCTTGTAAACCCTAATTAAACACTCCAATTTCTAGGAAAACATTTTCATTTTGCCTTTGTTTCTCTAAGAATCATCCCACTTACTGTTTGTTACACACCAATTGCTGATACAATGCACTCCTTAAAGGTGGTTTGAGAAAAAAAGCTCACTTTTATTGCAAGAAAGATTATTATGGTACCAATACTTCTGTAAGGTAATTCCTACATTTTAATAACTTTAGTATTAAGTAATAAGACTGATGGCCAAATCTGAGTAGAGAAAATCCGCTGAATGAAATTACTTTATATGTGTATTCCATTTTAAAGTGGGAAAAAATCCCATATTTTTTATGACACATCATATTTTTCATGGCCTATTATAATGCATAAGATACTTTAAGCTTAAATTAATGTGTTATGGCAACTGTAGCATTATATAATTTTTATACTTACTGTCTGATATTCTTGAGGAACACTCTGCTCTGCACCAAGATTACATACTTGCCTAGCTCTCTTCATAAGTTCCTTGCATTTCTGCAATAATCTTTGTCTATTTTCATCCAACTCAATGAAACGTTGCTATTAGGAGAAAAAGAAACATTTTTTTTTTTTTTTAGAAAGAGTGAGAGAGAATGAGAGAGAGGGAGAGATAGAGAGAATTTTTTTAATGTTTATTTTTTAGTATTTGGCGGACACAACATCTTTATCTGTATGTGGTGCTGAGGATCGAACCCGGGCCGCACGCATGCCAGGCGAGCTACTGCTTGAGCCACATCCCCAGCCCCGAAAAAGAAACATTTTGAAAATCTGAACATTACTGTTAAATCAGAGAGCTGTTTAATTAAATTACCACATATCTGAAATTTAACGACCTTTTTCTAGTACCTTTTTTGTGGTTATTCATGGACCTATTCATTCCTTTACCAAATAATTACTGAGAACCTATTAAATGCCAGTATTATATTTTGCATGAAAACCTCAGAGACATGCTTATTTAAGAAACAAGTAATCTAATGTGATTAGAGGAGGGGAATTTGTCAGCAATCAGAGTTGGTAAGATGGGCAAGGGTCAGACTGGGAAAGTTTCACGCATGATGAGTAATCTACTGAATGCCTCTTATAGGCGAAGCATTATTATAACCCATAAGTAAATTAATCTGATCCCCATTACAATCTTGAGAAATACGTTATCTTTTTTTAGATGTGTCTGAGAGCTATTAAAAAAAATGTCCGAGGTTATGGAACGAGCAGTGAACAGGTGTTCAAGAAAGTGAAAGATCCAATTTGTTCTTCGCACTAAACTCAAATTGCACAAAAAACACCTTAAGTGTTGATGTCCTAGCCCCACCCCACATCTACTTACTTAGTATCTTGAGGATTAGGCTTTGATATCTATTTTTTAAAAAAGAATTTTTTAGATGTTGATGTACCTTTATTTTATTCATTTATTTTTATGTGGTGCTCAGAATCTAACCCAGTGGCTCACACATGCTAGGCAAATGACTAGCACTGAGCCACAACCCCAGTTCCTGATATCTATATTATTAATAAGGTCTTCAGGTGATTTTTATGCTCATGAATTTGAAATAAAATAAACTAAACTAAGATACAGTTGCGAAAAGTAAAAGGACCTTACTGTACTGAACATATGAGCAAGACTTTATACTAATCACTTAGTACTATTGTTTCCTTGAATGAATTCCTCAGTCTTTATGGCCTGAGAGAAATAAAAGAAAATGTTAAATACTCCCAGTAACCTTACTCTTCTCTTTAGGGGCCACTGTACTCAGGCAAATGTACAACAGGGGGCAATTGGAAAGGAACTAAATATTCCTAATGACTTCTATTCCTGCTTCCTGTTCCGTTCCTCTAATTTTGCTAAAATGAAGTTTGGGAAAGAAACATCACTGAGTTGTGGAAGCTCCGGACTTAGAAGGACAACTCATTTAATAGTTCCCTGCTGTATGTGAGGGGGCAAAAAGGGGCAGGGTATTAGCAAGGATGGTGGAATGTTATGGATATCATTATACAAAATACATGTATGAAGACTTGAATTAGGTGTTAACATACTTTGTATACAAACAAAGATATGAAAAATTGTGGTATATATGTGTATTAAGAATTGTAATGCAAAAAAAAAGTTCATGTATAAAGGCATAAATTGACGTGAACATACTTTATATACAGAGATACAAAAAAATTGTGTAATAAGACTTGTAATGCATTCCACTGCTGTCGTGTATTTTAAAAAAATAATAAAATCAATAAAAGATAAAAAAAGTTCTTTCTATAATACATGTTTTTGACATAATTCTTCATATAGCACCTACTCTTTTTTTTTTTGTACAAGGGATTGAACTCAGGGGCACTCGACCATTAAGCCACATCTCTAGCCCTATTTTATTTAAAGACAGGGTCTCAGTGAGTTGCTTAGCACTTCACTTTTGCTGAGGCTGGCTTTGAACTCATGATCCTCCTGCCTCAGCCTCTCAAGCTGCTGGGATTACAGGTGTGCACCACCGTGCCTGAGAGCACTTGTCTATTTTAAATCACAATTTTTGCAGATAGAAAGAAGGGACTATACATTTATATAAAATGCTTTAAATCAGAGTGGAATGGCTTTATTCCCATCTCTGTTTAGAGTTTAGCCTTTAATAGTTAATAGAGAACAGAAAATACTCAATCTATTTAAGATATAAGAGGAGAAAAGGGGGAAATTTACAAGTTACCCCCACTAATATCTCAGAAAATATTACTTTGTAGGTATATATCTTGAAAGAAATGAATAAATATTATCATTATTCTTAAAGGTTTTTTTTGAGAAAATTTAGTTGTTATGGAAATTGTATAGAAATATGGTAACATTAAACAATGAAAAACTTTTCTAAGAAGGCCCTCTTGTGGAAGAATTAAGAATTATTCACAGACTTTCTTATTCAAGTAGCTGAGTATTCTATTAACATTTCTATTTAGCAACTCACTAAAATAAAAGGCAAATAAAATAAAAACTGTATTCTGTACAAGCAGAATTAAATTAGATTTCTAGGTAGCATGAAGTTTTATTAAGATATTATCTCCAAAATCTGAATTTTTTTTTTTTTTTTTTTTTGGTATCAAGGATTGAACTCAGGGGCATTCGATCAATGAGCCACATCCCAGCCCTATTTTGTAGTTTATTTAGAGACAGGGTCTCACTGAGTTGCACAGTGCCTCGCAGTTGCTGAGGCTTGCTTTAAACTCGCAAATCAGCTGTCTCAGCCTCCCAAGCCTCTGGGATTACAGGAGTGCACCACCATGCCTGGTTTCTAAAATCTGAAACTTTTTAAGGGCTAACACCATAGGTAGAAAATTCCACATTTCTTATGATCAGTCATAGTCAATTCAGGTGTATTAGACATATATTATGTATATGAAGTATTCATGAAACATAAATTAATTTTTTATTTAAACTTGGGTCTCATCCCTAAGAGAACTTAGTATGTATAAGCAATTATTCCCAAACTGTGAAAACCTGAAATCTCAAACGCTTCAGATTAGAAATACTCAAAACTGTAAAACAACTGATATTTACTCTTCAAAGTTATATGTATCTCATGTAAGTAAAAAATATGTGTCATTCAGTTCTACTTTGCAGGGAAGTGATTTGCAGGTAGGCAGAAAAGAGATTAAACGGATAGCACAGAATTCCTACATTTAGTATTAAGAGGAATAAATAAACAACTTCTAATTCTTTTTTGGGGGTGGGGGGATGGAATCTAGGTGTGCTTAAGTCACATCCCCAGCCATTTTTTATATTTTATTTAGAGGCAGGGTTTCACTGAGTTGCTTATAGCCTTGACGAGTTGCTGAGGTTGGCTCTGAACTCATGATCCCCCTGCTTCGGCCTCCTGAATTGCTGGGATTTACAGTTGTGCGGCTCTGTGCCTGGCTTCAATTTCTAATTCTTATAACTTAATATCAATACTGATATAAACCTATACTTTCTAAACAAACACTAGTTTCATGCTAGGCAGCACACTAAGCACCTTGTCACACAGCCTTGGTACACTTCAACAGATGAATGGATAAGAAAATGTGGCGTATGTACACAATGGAATATTACTTAGCCCTAAAGAAAAAAGGTAAATGGATGAAAATGGAGATCATTAGGCCAAAGGAAATAAGACAATCCCCTAAAAACCAAAGACCAAATATTCTCTCTGATGCATGGATGCTAACACACAATAGGGGGCAGAAAATAAAAGTTCATTGAATTAGACAAAGGGGAAAAAAGGGAAGGGAGATAGAAACAGGAAAGACAGTAGAATGAATCTGACATAATTTTCCTATGTTCATACATGAGTACACAACTAGTGTAACTCCACATCCATACAACCAGAAAAATGGGATCCTTATTGGAAATAAGTTATATTCCATGTCAAAATACACTCTACTGTCATGCATACCTAAATATGTCAAAATACACTCTACTGTCATGCATACCTAAATAAATATATAAATGAACTGAATATCATATCCCTGAAGTAGTCAGATATTATATGTATGGCTATAGACAAAGATTAAGCTTGGACTCTTAGGAAATCTGCCCAAAGTTTAAAAAAAAAAAACAACTGTCCATCACTGTATCTGTATTCACACTTATCCTAGCTTAGCATCTGTCCTATAAGTATTCAAGATAGTGGTGACACTATCAAAGAGGGGCTCACAATTATATGCCTTTCCCTGGGAATGTTCTATTGGTCAGGAACTCTGCTGCCCTTTTTGCCTTCCAAAATCTGCATAAGTATCAACCCCATGAGGGTTAACAAACAACCTCTATTTCCCCTCAGCATCCTTACTATGTCAGTTTTCTTTTGCAAATTTATTTCCTTATTAAAGCAAAGGATAAAATCAGAATTGTTAGTAATGGTTCCTCAGAGGGATAGGTCATGTGTTCAAAGGGACAAGTAGGGGGAAAAAAGGGTTTTCCTTGGTTTAAGTGAATTGCATAGCAAGATGAACAGACAAGACAGATTAAAGCATATATAGGTAAATGGCAGCAAACATGAGAAGAAAAAAGAACAAGTAAAAGAGAAAGCCAAAGCTACTTAAATATACTTATATACTGTTTTTCTTTTTGAGAAAACGGAAAAAAGTTTTACTGCTTTGCTAGCAAAAGAGAAATAGGGGACTCCTGTCCAGAGGCTGTGATTCTGCCCATGAGCAGGAACAGTGGGCTTTTAAAGAGTTGATTCAAAGGCTACATTCCTCATGTTCTCTGTTGGAGTTGTAATTCACTTGTTAATTTGGGAGACAGACATTTCTGATATCTTCTGGTACCATCCCCCAAATCTTGGAGACTTTGTTCTTATGGTGGGTGTGTACTCAAGGACATACAACTCTGCCTAAAATGGGGAAGAAAGGTAATCCTGTTTCTCCTGAGACTGGAAGAGATTAGGGAGGAGCAGGGAGACAGGGAAGAGAAAGAAACAAGTCCATTTTAAAAATAAGCTGCAGTGGCAGAGAAGCAAGGGCTACATTCAGAGCAAAGTGGACCACTGTTAGATTTCTCCACCGTACAGTACACTCCATTTCTAAGG